ATTTTTTTTTAATTTTTTGAAGGAGGATTTTTTAATGAAAGAATATTACAGCGGATTTTTTAAAATATTTTTCGAGGTCCACAACAGCATGAACTTTAAATAAAATATATATTTTTAAAAGGATATGACATCGAGAATTTTTTCGTGACTTTTTTTCAAATATATTTATAAATTCACAAAAATATATTTTCCTTCATTGTGATTTTTTTTTAAATTGTTAATAATTAGTGATTTTTTGAATATTTGTCATTGATTCAAAAACATTTTTAAAGACCTACTGAGAAGGAAGTCATTTGAAACAAATTGCAACATTATATCAAGATTTTTTTGGAATGAAAAAAAAATACTACAGGTCATATTGTCTAAAAAAAAAACTTTGAAGGGACTATATCGCGGATTTTTTTAACCTTCACCACACTGTGGTACAGGGTATTATGTCTTTGAGCATGTCTTTGAGCATATGTTTCTAACAGGTAAAAGGAAACGAAATAGACACATGGTTCCTTTTGAGAATATGCATAGAATCACTTTCTGAGTCGATTTATGCATGTCCGTCCGTCCGACGTCCTGTCTGCCCATGTATTTTTGTGAACAAAGTACAGGTTGCATTTATGATTCGATTTGGATGGAATTTGGCACAGTTCACTTATTTGGCCCAAGGACGACCCCTATTGAAATTGGAGAAAATGGGTTCAGATTTAGATATAGCTCCCATATATATAGTTTCGTCCGATTTTTTGGTGAATGATACACCAAACTCCCAATATTTGTCCGATTGGGAGAACATTTTGCACAGAGTATTGAATTATGTCCAGACTGATGTATGCCAAGTTTTGTTGAAATCAGTTCAGATTTAGATAAAGCTCCCATATATAGTTTCGTCCGATTTTTTGGTGAATGATGCTCCTATCTCCCAATATTTGTCCAATTGAGACAAAATTCTGCACAGTGTACTGAATTAAGTGCAGCCTGATGTCTGCAAAGTTTTATTAAAATTGGTTCAGATTTAGACATAGCTCCTATATGCAGTTTCGTCCGATTTTTTGTGAATGATATAGCATACTCCCAATATTTGTGCGATTGAGCAAAATTTTGCATAGCGAATGCAATTGAGGAAAAATGATGTGTGATAAGGTTTGTTGAAATTGGTTCAGATTTTGATATAGGTCTTAAATATATTTTTGTTCGATTTATGCAATTGGTGCACCGAAGGGCCTATGTTTGTTCGATTTACACGAAATTTGGCAGAGGGTATTAAATTGAATATAAAGTGATGACAAAAAACAAATGTTCTATGCAAAGGGTGCTCCAATGGGTCCATGTCATTATATTTCCCATACATAATTTTACTCGATTTTAAACAAATGGTACACCATAGAATCCAAGTCTGCCCGTTTGACACGCAATTTTTATTGATTTCAGAATGGTATGTGTATGGGGGTTTTCAATTGCTTCAAATATCTATCTAGATAGCACATTTAATTTCGCCCGATTACATCGTAATGGTCCTCCATAGATTCTATGTCTGTTCTATCTACAGGATATTGTAGATGTTAACATATCTTGTGTGTACCCAAAGTGGTGAAGGGTATCATATAGTCGGCCCTGTCCGATTTTGAAATGTCCATACTGGTTTTAAGTGCATTTTTAAGAGGGATTTTTTTTAAATATATTTTTTCAAGTCAAAATTTTATGATAAATATTATTTTAACTCTATACATCTTAAAATATAATTTTTACGTTTTTTAAATTTTTTGAGAAATATTTTTAATTTTTTAACGGTAAAAAAATATAACAAACTAAAACCAGTGAGCGGAGCAGTATAGTCGGACGGGGCCGACCATACGATACCCTACACAACTACCACGAACTCTAACTTTTTGAGGATGTTTATTCCGAGTCTGAGTAATATTTCGTGATATTTGCCCCCTCTTGTCCGATTAAAGTTTAACAACACCTCTTCCTTACTTTTTTCGAATATTCAGTACAGTCCTTCTAATTACTTGTCCAGATTACCTTCACGATGGGTGTGTTGTGATTTTCGGATTATACTCTACTCGAAAACACACAAAAAATTATGTTTTCGGTCCATTTCATCCCAAAATTTTAATCTGATCATCACCGAAAATTGTAGGCGTTGTTCTTGACCATAACTGGAACTTCATGAAAAATTTCAAAGCCATCAGCGCGATATTTCTCCCTCTAATGTGGTAATGGGTTACTAAATAATATCTGAATACATAAGCACCTGTAAATATTTGACTGTAACTTCCACATCTGAGTAGATACATCACTATATTTGGTATCAATTTAAAGCCCAACCACTCCTCTTGGATATGCTATCAACTCCTGGGGTCTACATCCTCCAGGAGTAAATATATGCCATAGAATACAAATTTTCTCATTTTTCACACAAAAGTCAGGGTCCATTTGACCCGCTAAATATTGACCAATCTTTATCAAAACATGCATGCTTATTCTCTGGCCCGATCCCCTTCTCCATGCAAAAATTCGCGGTGTTTGGGCCATAATTGCGGCCTCTGGAGCGACCAGAAAAACCGACAAAAATTTAGTATTTGGTCCATTTCATCCCCTAAATATTAACCGATCTTTTCCAAAAACAATAGGGGTCTTCATTGGCCAGAACTCATCCTACATGCAAAATTTCGTGAAGATTGGTCCATAACTGTGGCCTGTATCGTGTTTACAAATTATAATTGACAGACGGACGGATGGACGGACACACATGTCTAGATCGACTCAGCTAGTCGAGATATGACGATCGGTATACTTAAAGGTGGGTCTAGGACCAATATTTCGCGGTGTTACAAACATTTGGGGCTGCACAAAGCTATAATACCCTGACAACATAGTTGTGTAGGGTATAAAAATGCTTGAATTTATTTTTTGGGAATTATTTTAATTTTTTTTTCAACACAAAAAATATGCATAATTCGAAAAAATATGAATAATTTTGTTTAAATTTAAAATTGAAGCATAAAAAAATAAAATTAAAAAAATTGAAACAAGTGTTTTTAATTTAAAGTCACAAAATAAAAAAATTTTAAAATTTTTAATTTTTTTATGTTTCGATTTTCAATTAATTTTTTGATATCTGCAATATTTTTTTGAGTGTTAAAAAAAAATCAAATAATTCTCATTAAATAAATATATAAACTTTGTGGTTGTTTTTTTCTGTGGGTTTATTAGATAAAAATGTAGGCGATAAGCATAAAAATTTACCACAAATGGGGGTATGCTATAATATTTTTAAAGTCCCAGTTTTTTTAAATAAAAATTAGTACAAGAAAAATATATTAAAATTTTTATAGAGTCCATAGAATTGACCTAAATTGCCATTTCGGGGTGCTTGAAAATATTTTTCAATAGAGTTTGAATATTATTCATGGTTTCATTTCGAACCCTAAAGGGGAGTAAACCATTGTATGACATTGGTTAACTTTATATTAAATGCTGGCAGATAGGCTATTTTATAAAAAAAATGACCAAGAAGTCAGGCGCCAACGAAACGAACTTCTCATTGGGGTCGTATCACTGGTAACGTAAGAACTTCGAATTGTCACAAGAGACATTTGGGTTTGAAAGGTTTTTTGTTAAGAAGCTATTAATAGCTTCTGGAGAGAATAACCCAACAAAAAACTAAGGGAACTGATGAGGATCAGTGACCAGATCCGAAACTATAGTCTTCCCTGCCTTACCCCTCGGCGGACAATGCCATACATTCCCCACAAATAAATAGTTTTTTTTTATAAAAACAACAAACTGGGATTAAGCCTGACTATTTTGCAAAAACAAAATACAAATGGTATCCCAAATAACCCGCCAACACTAGTGTTACCATTTTTTTTTTTTTTTTTTTGTAAAAAATTGCTATTGCCAAGAAATTCATGAACACAGTTTGTCGATGGTAAATATTTGCCATTGATTGGAATTGACTTGGCTTAACTGGTGGTATTGCATTGAATTTTCAATATTTGACTACCGCTAGGTACTTGCTGTACTGGTCATGTTAACACACATCTGGCCATAGTATTTATTTCGTAAATCTTGGCTAAAAATGTTTCTAAGAAAAAATTAACAAAAATAAAAAACTAAAATTAAGCTGCGCTCTTTTTGATTCTCTTTGTTTAGTTTCATATCAAGGCTAACTAGAACAGCGAGCGAGTTTATTTTTATTATAAGCTGGTCGTCAGTTTTGTCGATTTAAATATTTGTTGTTTTTGTAATTGTTTGTATGATGTTATTGCATGCAATTAAACAAAAAAAACTAAAGCTGTTGTTTTAATTTTTTTCTTAAATCTAAAACATTTGCTTGATTTTGTCTTAAACATAATTAGCTATCCTCCATGGCCCTTATAATAATTAACGATTTAAATAAACTATTATTTAATAAGGAACATTTACATTTTTTCGTCTGTCCATTGTTAATTTGTCGAGATGATATGTACATTGTGTTGGGTATGATTTTTTGTGTTATTTTTATATTAATTGTTATTATTGTCTAAAGATTTTCTGTCTAGTCTACCTATATTTCGAATGTATAATTATTATAATTGTGTTTATTCTGCCATTTAAAAATATTCATTAATTCATGTTTTAATTTTTCAATACTAAGTTTTTTTGTTTGTTAATAGTATTCTATTAATAAATTAAAAAAATCTTTAAAGTTAATTTACATTAATTTAACTACTCGTTTTTTTATTTACAACAAAAAATGTGATGTCTCATTTTGCCTTGAATGTTTAATTTTTTATTTCTTATTTAAATTTTTTGTCTGAGAACTTCTTAAATGTTTAAGCATGCTTTCTGTTTGTTTTGTTCAATGTTTGGCCTAAATAATTTATTCCAAATTTACCTATTAATAATTTAATTTTGTTTTAAATTTCCAAATTTAATTCTTTTCCTAAATCCAAAATTTGAATTCGAAATCCATACAAACCAGAAAACGTGCTAACTAACCAAACACCATCATGTCTGACAAGAAAGATTCTGTAACTACTAATAACGAATCGAAATTCAAAATTAATGAGGATAAATTGGATACGAATGTTTCGGTGAGTTGGTTTAAAAAAAATTAATAAATAAATAAAATAAAAATAATAAAAAATCATACAACAACAATTACACACACCTCAACAATATAAATCTACGTTTTATAGACCTAAGCAGAGCTATTCTGAATATGAAAATTTTCGAATGTCAATGAATTCTTATTAACTAAAAACGTCGTTATGTTCTGCCGGACCGTACTTTTTTTACCCTCAAACATGTGATATGCATATGGAACATGTTCTGGAAATACATTTTTCATTCACTAGGAATTTGAAACATAAATCTTCAAAATACCGAACATGAAGCTGATCATCCTTTTGTGTGGGAGCCCAAATCATCAAACTGCCGATTCTAGACCGTGTACTCTATATTAGAGACATTGAAAAAAAGAATCTATATCAAAAATAGTCAGCAAAACTGTTTTTCACTCTTGTTTAAAGGAACTATTCTGCAAAAGGAATGATCGGAACTAGATCTATCGTCTAATTCAAGAGAAAACCGGACATGGCATGGAATCTCCAAGAAATTTTCCGTCGTTTTGCAAAGGGACAATGAAGTATAATTGCGTTGTACCGCAACGAAATAGTTTAATGAAACTATTCCGCAAAAGGTACGATAGGAGCTAGAACTATCGTCTATTTCAAGAGACAGCCGGACATGGCAATATTAACATTGACTTTTATTCCAATCAATAATAAATATATCTTAATGGATCTCCCTGGAATATTTCGACGTTTTGCAAGCGGAATAACAACAAAGTAGAGTAGGGTCCTACCAAAACGACCCTACTCTACTTTGTTGTTATTCCGCTTGCAAAACGTCGAAATATTCCAGGGAGATCCCTTAAGATATATATATTATTGATTGGAATACCAATGTCCTGGAGGGTATCGCCTTCGTTCCCGACCATACATATACTGACAGGTACTTGAAATAAAAATATAGGGAACATACCAAAAAGTGTACCTATACCGACATTTCTACAAACCGATTATGGTTCTAAACATTGGTCCTAGACCCCATGTTTCTTTGGACAAATTTGTTTCAAAAAATGTTGTTTTCATCCAAACTTTGCCCATCTTATTATTTCTTCCAAACTTAGTTCAAATTCGAAGTTCAAAGGAACTATTCTGCAAGACAAACGATCGATACTAGACCCCATTCATTATTCATTTAATTAATTTTGGTACCTTTTACCTAGTTGGGATCAATAATAAATATATTTTATTCCATTTCCAGGGTATATTTCGGCGTGTTGCAAACGGAATGACAACAAAGTAGAGTTGGGTAGATTCGGTACGAACTTGTTCAAAGGACCTATTCTGCAAAAGGAACGATCGATACTAGACCATATTCTTTGTTCATTTAATTCATTTTGCTACCATTCACCTACTTCCGATCAATAATAAATATATTTTATGGGATCTCCGGGGAATATTTCGGCGTTTTTCAAATGACCAAAAAAGTAGAATTGGGTCATTCCTGAACGAATTATTCTGCAAAAGGAACTATCGGTACTAAGCCCTATTCTTCGTTCATTTAGTTGATTTTGCTACCATTCACCTAGTTCGGATCAATAATTAATATATTATCTCCAGGGTATATTTCGACGTGTTGCAAACGGTATGTCATCGAAGTAGGGTTTGGTCATCACTGAACGCACCAGTTCAAAAGAACTACATGTTCTGCAAGAGGAACGATGGTAGGCTTAATTTTTCATTCATTTTGCTTTCGTTCACCTACTTCCGATCAATAATAAATATATTTTATGGGATCTCCGGGGAATATTTCGCAGTTTTTCAAACAAAAAAGTAGAGTTGGGTCATCCTAGAATGCACCAGTTCAAAATAACTATTATTCAAAATGAACGATTGGTTTTAGACCCTATTCTTTGTTCATTTGACTCCCGTTCACCTAGTTCCGATCAATAATAAATATATTTTATGGGATCTTCGGGAATTATTTCGACGTGTTGCAAACGGTATGCCATCGAAGTAGAGTTGGGTCATCCCTGAACGTACAAGTTGAAAGGAACTATTCTGCAAAGGGACTTATTCTGGAAAGGAATTATTCTGCAAAATGAACGATCTTTACTAGGCCCTATTCTTCGCTAATTTTGCTCTCGTTCACCTAGTTCCGATCAATAATAAATATATTTTATTGGATCTCCGGGGAATATTTCAATGTGTTGCGAATGGTATGCCATTGAACTAGTTCAAAGGGAGTATTCTGCAAAGGGAACGATTTGTACCAGGCTCTGTTTTCGTCCATTTTGCTCCTGATCACCTAGTTTCTTCAGCTCAAATCGTTCATCTAGATCTTTCGGATTTATTGACCGAATTAACTGACATATAATTATTCACTGGAACGTGTCGGTTAATTCGGTCAATAAACTGAACTAAAATGAACTATGGAATTAAATTAATGACCTAGTTCCATTTGTGGAACGAACCGAGAAAAATATCGATCCGCCTAGGGAATGACATGACATCGTTAGATCGGATCAGAAATGTTTAGAAGCAAATTTTAAAATTATGTGATTATCAGATTTAAAATAATTATTTTCTTGGTATACATATTCAAAATAATCATTTTTATTATCTATATATTTTTCTCTTTTAATTTGTCAGATCGATATGGAGGCCCCAGAATTCCGTGAATTTGCCAAATCAATGGTCGATTATATTGCTGAATATTTGGAAAACATCAGAGATCGGTAAGTAGAATATCTCCAAAATGAATTATAATAAAATACAAATTAAGAAGACCATTTGGTCTTATACAAGAAAATCTGTGGCGATTTTAAGACCTTTAGGTTGAAGACTACAGTTTAATAGCTTTCTTTGAGAATATATCACCTTTAGGACTTCTAGAAGAAATTGGTATTTTATAAGAAGGTCTTGTGCGCAGTTATAGCAGCATCTTCGATCACAGAAAGTCGTTTCTAAGAAGTTTTTTTGGGTTTCTATTAGAATCCCTTTGCTCACATATTTCTAAAACCTTTGACGCATATGTTAGTAATTCAATATTCCCAATATGATGTTATTTCCCTTGAAATATTTCATCAGCGCTTTCAGTATTTCTAATTTATTATTTGTTTTAATTCCGACATTAAGCCACAGCTTAGAATGGTCTTTAAATGTGAATTAACAGTTTCTGAAAACAAAGTCAGTGTTAAAGTTGTTACAAATTCCGGTTTCAGACAGGTGTTCGGTAAATATTCCAATAATTCAGGTGACTCAATTCAAGTTAAATCGATTCGATTTGAAGAGAATGTAATCACACAAAACAAGTTCGATGTATGAAGGTAATTTTGGATGAAAAAAATTAAAAAACGGAAATGAAAGTATTTGAAAGAACTTTTTGTGTGTGTGCGCAATTCAATAATGTTTCAGTTAATTAGCATAAGATCAATGAATTATACTTTCAAATTTGTATTTATCCTCCTCCCATACAACGTATTTATGGCTAATTATTGAAAAAAGGTTTATTATTGAAATTTTGCAATTGATCTTGAAACAATGTTGTTAAGTTATTCAAACAAAAATATATACACGATTTTTTGACCTAGACATTATTATGAATTTAAATAAATGAATAGGGGCCTAAAATGTGTTACAGTGTATTCCCAGTGGAGAGAGGAACTAGTTGTGAAATAATTGTCAGGTTACTAAGAAATTTATTTTTAACATTGTTGCAAATTTTAAAATACAAATTTAAAATACTAATATTGATTTTGGGAACTAGTATCAAATTTAAAATATTAATTTGTATATACCATCTTTGAAGGTAAAAGACAAGAAAACAGAAAATTAAAAAAATTTGATCCAGTATCATTGAACTTCTACATGAACTAGTAGACTAGTTCCAAATTCCGAAATGTCATGTTAATACTTATAGTGTTTTCTCTATCAAAACAAGTTATTAATGGCTAATTGAAAATGATTATTGAAATTCGCGATTGATATTGAAATAAAGTAGTTTATTTATTCTGCAAAATAATTAGTTTATTCTACAAAATAACATAAATAAATAGAGGTCCTAATGTGTTTCCCAGTGGAGAAAGGAACTAGTGTTGAAATATTTGTAATGTTACTAGAATATTGATTTTACAAACTGAATATCAATTTGAAATAATATTTAGGACCATCCTCGAAATTAAAGAAGATAATAAGAAATGCCGACAGAAAATATTGACTAGATATTGATAATTGAACTTATACATGAACTAGGGACTAGTTCCAAATTAAACAAATATTTTAATATTTTCATTGTTTCTCCGTCAAAACTGGTTATTAGGAGTTAATTGAAAGTTGTTATTGAAATTCGTGATTGATATTGAAACAGAGTAGTTAATTTGTTCCGCAAAATTCATGACTTTGTGACTTAGATATTATTATGAATAAAAATATTTGAATAGGGGTCCTAATGAATAGGGTAAGTTTAAAGTTTAAAATATTATGTTTAGACCATCATCGAAGCAGGGAGAACAACACCGAGAAATTAAAGAAAAAAATGGCAGCTTAATTTCTTGGGAAATTTTTGATCTAATAGCACATAAGCTCTGTAAGAACTAGGCAAGTTCCAAATTCCAAAATATGAATTTTGTACTTTCTAGTTCTTGAAGCAGTACTTGAAAGCGGCAAAGGAACTAGTCCATGCATTTAATTCCATAATTCCTCTTTACTTCAACCGTTCATTGGTTCATTTCAGTTAATTCGCGTCAATGAACGGAATGATCTAGATGAACGTTTGGATCAAAAGCAACTAGGTGAACGAGTGCAAAAAGAATAAAGTGGAGGACAAGGAACTATAGTAAAGGGACGAATGTTTCTTTTGTAGAATAGTACCGATTGTTCATTTTGCGGAGTTCCTTTGAACTAGTTCAATTGTTTTCCTAAATCAAATAATTTCAATTGTTTTCCCTAAATTCTTTGTTACGGCTAAATAACAAAATGTATATTGAAATTTGTGATTGATATTGTGACAAGGTTAGATTAGGTTGAAAAGAGGGTTAGGTTGAGACAAAATAGTTAATTTTTTCCACAAAATACACGATACATTGACCTATACATTATTATCAATAAAATAATTGAATTAGGGTTCTAATGTGTGAACTAAAATATTATTTTTTGATCCTCCCTGAAGTTGAAGAAGAAATACTGAAAACAAAATATTGAACTCTTCCAACACCTAAAGACTATTTCCCAATTCCAACATACTATTTTTATACCCCCAATGTTTTTTTCTTCCCACCAACGGCTAATTAACAAGGCCATTCGAAATTCGTGATTAATATTGAAACAATGTAGTTAATTTATTCCGCAAAATACACGATTTTCTAACATTCCGACCTAGACATTATTATGAATAATATAATTGAATAGGGGTCCTAATGGTTGACAATATATGTTCCCAGTGGAGTGAGGAACTAGTTGTTGTGTTACTTAGATATACATTTGAAATTTAGTTGAAATTTTAGAATATTGAGGTCCTTCTCGAAGTTGAAGGGGAAATACAAATAAATTAAAAAAAATTGGCCTAATATCACTGAACTAGAAACTAATTCCTAGTTCCAAAATATGAATTTTGCTCTTTCAATTAAGTTTCTCTTACTCAACTTAGTTAAGGTTAATTAAAAAGGCCCATGGAATCTAGTGATTGATATTGAAATAGGTAGTTAATTTATTTCGAAAAATACACGATTTTTGTTACACTTCAACCTAGACATTATTATAGTGTAAAGATTCCGTTGGAGATAGGAACTAGTTATTTAATAATTAAACTGTTACTAAGTTATTATTTGTTTATCTGATTAGGTACGTGGTCCTCGACTTCCAACATTTAAGATGAAAGAGAATTGAGAAAAAATTTAGAAAGTTAGTTTCTGATCTCAAAGCTGGAGACTAGTTCCTAACTAGGAGATATTTTTACCTTCCTAATTATCATTGAGGTTACTTTCTGATATCAAAAACTAGAGACTAGTTTCTTTTGCTTTTTCAAAAATTCTTTAGCTTTTTTATCCATACTGATAACTTTTTAATTAATATTATCACATAACTAGTTCCATGCACTAGTGATTTAGCTGCAATGTTAGTTCCTTCACTAGTACAATTTATTGGGAATGTATACCGCAAATGATTTCCAAAGATTTATAGTCTAAAATTCAACTTATTACAATTTTTTAATTATCATAAATTCATTTCACAATTAGTTCCCTGCCCTAGTGGGTTATCTGTGCAATTCTCTCCATTACAGTTTCACCAGACATTTATCATTTTTATTTCATTTTTTTGATATTATTGTAGCTACATTTTGTGTATCTTAATGTACAATTACTTGTCTACCACGTTTCACTAGTTAATAAACATAACAAACAAAAAATATCTATGTGTCAAGGTTTCATTTAGAAACGTTTCTTTTTTTGTGTCTTGCTTCAATTGAAATAAAATTAAATACTAGAAACTTTGTGTGCTGTTATTGTTGTATCTATGAAATGTGATTGTTCGAACATGGAAATGCGAAGTGTGTTCTTATAATCTGCATCAAGGTTTAGTTATTTTTTGTTCTATAGGTATATTTTTGGCATTTCGTTCCGGAGTTCATTAATGAAGGTTAAAGGAAGTAATAGAGGGAGGGGAGGAGGGTAGGTTATTTACTTGAAGCGATTTATTACCTTGGTAATAACTTGAATATAACATTTTGGCTTTAGAAAATTAAAATGAAATCATGGGAAATCCTTCAAAGCTTAAGTCGAGACAAAAAATTTTGTTTTTCCAGTATTATCGACAAGCGGGATAATTTAAAATATTTTTTTAAGACAATATTTTTTAAAAATATTTTTTAAAAATATTTTTTATACACTACAAGGGTCAACAAAAGGCGCGGGATTTTAAAAATATTTTTAATGGACCTACACATGGTGTGGATTTTTAAAAATATTTTTTTAATATTGTTTTTAAAAATATTTTTAACTATTTTTTCTTATTCTTTTATTTCCAGCCGCGTCCTGGCCGATGTAAAGCCTGGCTACTTGCGTCCCTTGATTCCCGATTCCGCTCCCGAGAAACCCGACTCCTGGCAGGATGTTATGAGTGACATTGAAAGGGTTATTATGCCCGGTGTTACACATTGGCATAGTCCCAAATTCCATGCCTATTTCCCCACCGCCAATTCATATCCAGCCATTGTGGCTGATATGTTGAGTGGTGCCATTGCCTGTATTGGTTTCTCATGGGTAGGTCCAAAAAGCCATTATTTTCTTTTGCTTTCCAAATAATAATTTTTTATTTCCCTACAGATTGCCAGTCCCGCCTGTACCGAATTGGAGGTGGTCATGATGGATTGGTTGGGCAAAATGATTGGTTTGCCCAAGGAATTTTTGGCCTGTTCCGGCGGCAAGGGTGGCGGTGTTATCCAGGGTACAGCCAGTGAGGCCACATTGGTTGGTTTGTTGGGTGCCAAGGCTAAGAAGATTCAGGAGGTTAAGAAGGAACATCCCGATTGGACTGATGATATTATTGTCTCCAAATTGGTGGGCTATAACTCATCGCAGGCTCATTCCTCGGTGGAGCGGGCAGGCCTATTGGGTGGTGTTAAAATGCATTCTGTACCCTCGGATGAAAAGAACAGTATGCGTGGTGAGGCCTTGGAGGCTGCCATTAAAAAAGATTTGGAAGCCGGTTTGATACCTTTCTATGTAAGTTTGGAGGATATATTTTTCGAATAGAATTTTTACTGATTTTTTGTTTTATGGTTTTATAGGCCGTCGTCACCCTGGGCACCACCAACAGCTGTGCCTTTGATCGCTTGGATGAATGCGGCGCCGTGGGCAACAAATACAATGTATGGATCCATGTTGATGCTGCCTATGCTGGATCGGCCTTCATCTGCCCTGAATATCGCCATTTGATGAAGGGCATTGAGACCGCGGACTCCTTCAATTTCAATCCCCACAAATGGTTGTTGGTCAACTTCGATTGCAGTGCCATGTGGCTGAAAGATCCCACCTGGTTGGTGGATGCCTTCAATGTGGACCCCTTGTATTTGCGTCACGATATGCAAGGTTCCGCACCCGATTACCGCCATTGGCAAATCCCCTTGGGTCGTCGTTTCCGTGCTTTGAAGCTATGGTTTGTCTTGCGTCTGTATGGTGTTGAAAATCTCCAGGCCCACATTAGACGCCACTGTAAATTCGCCCAAGAATTTGCTGCCCTCTGCCGGGCCGATGATCGTTTTGAAATTGTCGGTGATGTCAACATGGGTTTGGTATGCTTCCGCCTTAAGGGACCCAATGAGTTAAGCGAAAATCTCCTGAAATTGATTAATGGTCGTGGCAATATCCATATGGTCCCATCGAAGATTCGTGATGTATATTTCATTCGTATGGCTTTGTGTTCGCGTTTCACCAAATCGGAAGATATGGTTTACTCGTGGAATGAAGTCTGTGCCGCTGCCGATGAAATGTTGAAGAAATAAAGAGGGGAACAAAGATCGGGACAGTATTATCGTGACCTGCAACCAACCATTACTTAATAAGTTTATAACGAAATGGGACCAGAACTGTGCAACATATTTAGGGAATTTAAATGTGCTTCATGTTTTTTTATATAATTTTTTTAATTTTTTGTTAGTTTTTAAGATTGTTAAATATGTGTGTTAAAATACTTATTTAGTTAAGTATATATAATAAAAAATATCGTTAAAGTGTATGTCATTTAAAATGGAGACAACTTAAAAAGAACAACAAAATACTCAAAATTATTAAATAAATGTTCTATTTAATTAAAAAAATCAAAAAATGTGTTACTAAAATAAGGCGTGAATTTTTTAAAAATATTTTGTTCAAGGGTCCATAACCCAAGGCATAGATTTTTTAAAAATATTTTTTCAAGGCCCATAACCCTAGGCGTTAATTTTATAAAAATCATTTTTCAAAGACAATAACCCTAGGCGTGGATTTTTTAAAATTATTTTTTCAAAAGGCGTGGATTTTTTAAAATTATTTTTTCAAAAACGTGGATTTTTTAAAATTATTATTTCAAAGGCGTGGATTTTTTAAAAACATATTTTCAAAGGCGTGGGTTTTTTAAAAATATATTTTCAAAGGCGTGGGTTTTTTAAAAACATATTTTCAAAAGGCGTGGTTTTTGAAATTATTTTTTCAAGGCGTTAATTTTTTAAATTATTTTTTCAAAGGCGTGGTTTTTGAAATTATTTTTTCAAGGCGTTAATTTTTTAAATTATTTTTTCAAAGGCGTGGATTTTTAAAAATATTTTTTTCAAAGGCGAGGATTTTTTAAAATTATTTTTTCAAGGGCGTGGATTTTTTAAAATTATTTTTTCAAAGGCGTGGATTTTTTAAATTTTTTTTTCAAAGGCGTGAATTTTTTTTAAATTATTTTTTCAAATGCGTGGATTTTTTAAAATTATTTTTCCAAATGCGTGGATTTTTTAAAATTATTTTTTATTTATTATAAAAATAATTTTTTTTTATTATAAAAAATATAATTTTTTGTATATTTTCTTTCGAAACAAATATTTATTATTTTTAATTGTTTTTGTTTTAAATTTCATATTCATATGCATTCATATACAATTTGTTCAAAAACTCACCTCACTTACCGGCCGGCCACTGCTTTGCCTGTCTCACCTTCCACACAGTGTTGATGACGATGTTGTCCAATAAGAATGACGACGGGAAATTAAAAACAGCGGATTTTGACAATTTGACACTAACCTAACATATTCACTCATATAATTGCGTAACACAAAAATGCAAAGGACTTTACTGACATTAAACGAATAAAAATGATTTTTATTATTTTATTTTTGGGATTTTTTAAACATTTTTTTTTAATTTTATCTTGAGATTTTTTTTTGCTTTCTATATTTAGGATATTTTTAAAATCATTATTCTTTCGATTTTATTCTGAAAAATTTGAACTTATTTACTTTTATTTCATTTTTTAATAAATATTTCACTTGATTATTTTCTTCTAAGCAATTTCACTTATTTGTTATTTTATTTTTGGGATTTTTTTAAATTTATTTTTATTTTATTCTGATTTTTTTTTTACTTTTTTCACTTTTTATATTTAAGATTTTTTAATTTCATTATTTTTTGATTTTATTCTGAAAATTATAACTTATTTATTTTTTTTTTCATTTTTTAATAAATATTTCACTTGATTTTTTTTCTTCTCAACAATTTTACATTCAATTGATCAAAAGAAGCAACGAAGAACAAGAACGAGCAAGTGATTGATTCATTCTCTCTCTCTCTCATCTAGGAATTTTGGCAACACAAATTTGCATTCTCATTGATGGCCCCTGAAGAAACATTTTTTCCATTAAATTATTAACGAAAACACTATTATTTAATAATAATTACATTAATTGGCATTGACATTTTTATGATTTACACAATTTCAACATTTTTTTATCGCAAAAATTTATTAAATTTATATATTTTCACTAAAGAGGGCCCCATGAGCCACTGCCTGCCGTTAAAGCAAATGACAACTCTACTTCTCTTGCTCTCTCTCTTATTAGAACACAACCGAACATGATACTCACAAGCAAAGGGACAACATGAATTGACAAACACACTACACGGGCAAATAACACAACTTTTTGATAACAATTTAAACCGGGAAAACACTATTATTTCATAAATATTTTATTAATTACTATTTAGATGATAATAAATTACACTATTTTCAATTATTTATAACATTTATAACACATAAATTCACGACGAAACATTACAATGAACCGAACGCGCCGCTATCACAAATGACAACTGAAGGAAGATACAACTAAGAGCAAAAGAGTGATGCCAATGCACTGAACAGGAAAATGACAATAAACAATGGGAGACTCGTTCCTTCGCTCTCGCTCTCACACTCATAACATTGTATTTCTCTTATTGGAATATCACGCCACTCGTGAATTTGCAAGAGATTGGGGCGGTAGAAGATTATATCCGTTTTCTAATCATTTGCACTGGAAATAACACATTTATTTCATTAATATTTTATTAATTAGTTTTGAAATTATTAGTATTCAGACTTTTCTCGATTATTTTTAAGGAATTAATGCTTTAAATTTAAGAAAATTCACGACGAAACATTGCAATGAACCGAACGCGCCGGTAACACAAATGACAACTGAAGGAAGCAACAAATGAGAGGAACAGTGTTGTCAATACGCAAATTATAGAATCACTACAAAAATAAAGTAAAATAAAATTCTTTACACTACGTTTAAATGCGACAGAACAGTTGGTATTAGGAAATAAATAATTCGAAATAAGTAACTGTCAAAAAATTATTTAAAAAATTCACGTCTTATGTAGACTTCGGAAAAAATTATTTAAAAAATCCATGCCTCATGTAGACTTCGGACATTACATTATTTTATTTAAACCAGTAAGGAAAACAGCAAAGTCGGAAGGGGCCGACTATATGATACCCTTCACCACTTTGGGTATTCTCAACAGATGGAATCCTAACAGACGTCGCATTTTAAGGACCATTAACATGAAATTAAACATGTCATTCTGCAACATATACTGATATAGAGTTGCTTCTTACAATGGCACAAAATTATGTAAATAAATTTAAAACAAAATATCGAAATCTAAACCGAAAATATATATGGGAGTACGATATGTCAAATGTCTTGCAAATCGAAGGATATATAGGGACTTTGGTGCACCATTTACATAAAATGGGACGAAAATATTATGGGAGCTATATCTAAATCTGAAACGATTTTCACGAAATTTAACACACATATTTCTAGACTTAATACAGGACGCTATGCCAAATTTCGTGTAAATAGAATGATTTTCAGAGACTTTGGTGCACCAATTACCTAAAATCGGTTGAATATAGTAAAGCTATATCTAAATCTGAACCGATTTTCACGAAACTTAGCACACGTCATTCTAGACTTAATTCAGTATGCTATGACAAATTTCGTGCAAATCGAATGATTTTCAGAGACTTTGGCGCACCAATTACCTAAAATCGGATGAATATATATATATATGAGAACTATATCTAAATCTGAACCGATTTTGACGAAACTTGGCACACATCATTCTAGACTTAATTTAGTACACTATGCCAAATAAAAAGATTTCCAGGGACTTTGGTGCACCATTTACCCAAAATTGGGCGAAAATATATATGGGAGCTTTATCTAAATCTGAACCGATTTTCATGAAACTTAGCACACATTATTATAGACGAAATTCAGTATGCTATGTCAAATTTCGTGCAAATCGAAAGATATATAGGGATTTTAGTGGAATATTTACATAAAATCGGGCGAAAGTATATTTGAGAGCTATATGTAAATCTGAATTAATTTTCATGAAACTTTGCACACATCTTTCTAGACTTAATTCAGGACGCTATGCCAAATTTCGTGCAAATCGAAGTATACATAGAGACTTTGGACTTAAAAGTGATTATATGCATATTCTCAAAAGGAACCATGGGTCTATCGCGTTTCCTTTTGCCTGTTACCGACATATGCACAAAGACATTATACCCTGTACAACAGAGTGGTGAAGGGTATAAAAGTCCACGCTTCATATAGACGTCCGAAAAAATGATTTTAAAAATCCACGCCACATATGACCTCATACGGACCCCGAAAAAAATTATTTCCACTCCTCATGTAGTTGTCGAGAAAAAATTATTTAAAAAATCCACGACATAAACACTAATATTTTAGTAAAAAATTAAAAATTATATTCCAAATTCTAGACATCTATATCTAAAAAGTCACAACAACATTTTTTTAATTTCTTAGACAATTAATTTATAATATGTACCAAATCTCCTGTCGCTTGTAAACGTAGTGTAAATAACTTTATTTTACTTTGTTTTTGTAGTGCTTTTCATAATTGGTGTATTGGCAACACTGTTTCTCCCACTTGTTGCTTCCTTCAGTTGTCATTTGTGTTAGCGGCGCGTTCGGTTCATTGCAATGTTTAGTCGTGAATTTTCTTCAATTTAAAGCATTAATTCGTTAAAAATAATCGTGAAAATTGTGAATTCTAATAATCTAAATAATAATTAATAAAATATTAATGAAATAAAATTGTTTTTACCAGTGCAAATGATTAGAAAACGGATACAATCTTCTATCGCCTCAATCTCTTGCAAATTCATGAGTGGGGTGATATTCCAATAAGAGAAATTCAATGTTATGAGTGAGAGAGCGAGAGCGAAGGAACGAGTCCCCCATTGCTGTTTTGTTTTTTCTTCCCAATTGACAATTTTAAGCGCTTTTGTTGTCATTTTTTCTGTTCAGAGCATTGGCATCACTCTTTTGCTCCCAATTTGCATTTTCCTTCAGTTGTCATTTGTGTTAGCGGCGCGTTCGGTTCATTGTAATGTTTCGTGGTGAATTTATGTGATTTAAAGGAATATTCTTGTTATAAATAATCGAAAAAAGTG